GGTTATGATTATTGGTGCACAGTTTTCTATGTTTAATTTTCCTGTATATTCTGGGTTTATAAAGGATGCTGATGCGCCTGTGTCTATAAGAAAACGGAGTGGACGCCCAAATGGAGATGAAATGTTTATGTAAGGCAGGTTAGTGCCATGTTTGTTTATGTCTAGGTATCCTGTTGGGTTTTGGAGGCATCTAATTGAAAATTTTGTACATCCTCTATCTCGTTGTAATTGTCCAACTCAGGTAAATAATTAGGAATGTTATAGTTTACAGGATCTGAATAGGTATTAAAGTTCCTATAGTTATGGTCAATATGATGTACTTCTCTTGGAAATCTACGTGTTTGTCCACTATTATTCCTTAGATGAGTATAGCCTGAACTAGTGTCCATGGGTTCTGGTGGTGGAAGATTTGTGTTACTGTCTAAACGTTGTTGTCTAAAATTGCTAAATTGGTTTTGATTGTTTGTGGCTGTAGGGTATTGTGTTTGCATAGGTGTTGGTAAAAAACTCTGTGCTAACTGAGGTCTATTAATTGGTGTTGGTAAATTTAATTGGGGTCTATTAAATGGTTGATTCATTGGTAATTGTGGTCTATTGAAATGCATAGGTGGACTATAAATCGCGTTTTGTTGTCTATAATGATTTGGAGTGAATGGTTTTTTAATGTTAGGGTAAGAATGTTGTGAATTGTACTGTCTATGAGTTTCTTGCCTTTTCAAAATGTTCCTGTTTTCTTGTCTTATATAAAACATGTTTTGTTCGGTAATACAGTATGAAAAAGCTATCGGTAAAGTATCTGGCTTCATAGCCCTAATGGAAGAGCCTAATGGTTCTCTAAGTCCAGATAAAAATGTGTTAAGGCACATTTTATCAAATAAATCTCGTTTAGCTTTTATTATGTTGGCATCTACCTCGTGTATCATCAGATTATTGTTAATTGAAGCTTGGATCTCTACAACTGAACTATAAAACTCCTCAAGTGTCTTATTATTTTGTTTTAGTAGGTGTAAGTCTCGAATCAATGAAGTTTCATTTCGTTTATCAGAGTAATGTAATATGAGATTATTTTTAATGCTCTGCCAGCTCAAGTCTGTGCTATACATATTCAAAATCTCATTTGCTTCTCCTTCAATTTTGTTACGTATAGACCTTAAAATCATCTTGCCAAGAGGGGTGCCATCAATGGGTGTTAATACTGTAAGTATTTCCTCCACATTGCTTATGAAATCGTATAGCAATCTCGGATTTCCATCAAATTTTGGAAGATCCTTGACAGCATCTGGGATTCTTAAGGAATCCAGTATATTTCTTTCTGTCGAGGGTGAACTGTTCGTAGAATTCATTACACCACTTTGATTATTTTGACTGATACTCATATCGGTTTCAGATTCTGGGATAGGAATAAGGGTTCTTGGGATAGTATAAGGACGAAATTTACGCATATGCTTATTTTTTCTCTTTAATTCAATCAATTATTTTCTTTAGAAAGCAAAATTATTTTATAATATCGAAATATATATGTTTATATTTAAATATATTCACTTAAATAATATTTAATAGGTAAATTATTTAAAATATTATCTATTTTTTCTTTTCTTTGAAAAACACGGTTAAATTGTTTTATATTTGTTCACAATATAAGTTTTCACTTTTACTTTTATTAGTCTTTAAACTGAATCTTGAATCTTTAAAATATGTTTCTATTTTATCTTTTAGTAAAATATTTAATAGTATTGCTTGTTTCTAGCACTTTTCCACAATAAATTTGGTAATAATAGAAATTTTCACTTACAATATTAAAATTATAGTTCTTATTGACATTATTGTTGGTAACGTTGACTGGAATCGGTTGTCCTTAAAGTAGTTTTCCTTGGCAGATGTCCGTACAGATGTCCTCTCTTGTTGGTTCTGCTTTTCCTCGTGATGATCCGTCACGGATGCTGGTTCTGTTCTGTTCTTTTCAGACGATTATCCTTCGTCTTCTATGTAATTCCGTGCGCTTTTTTTTTCGTTTGCGATAAACCGTCACAACACTTATTTAATTTTTTTTTTTTGTAGCGCAGGAACCAGAACTACCCGACTGCGCCAGTTAATTCTTGTAGTAATCCGAGTATTAAAAAAAACACAAGTTTATTCGTTGGTTGCTCAAAAATTACTCTTCTTTATTGAAAACAATAATTAAAAATGAAAGTTACGATTATAAACTTATTTAAAGTGAAAATTGCAATAACTGCATTTTGACAATTTATAAAATTATTAGTAATTCTATAGCTGGTGGCCTGTTTACAATTCTTTGAAATTTAAATATATGCTTATTTAACAATTCTTTTATTGAACAATTCTTTATTTTACAGTTCTTTTTCGGTCTGTTGAATTATTTAAAATTCTTACTAATTTTATATGTAGCAATTCATACGGTTATTGACTTATTAGCAATTCTTAATAATTTTTATTATTTATTTGCTTGATTTAACCTTGGTGGCTTTGTAGGTGCTTGTGTTAATGTTGTTGTTGTTGATGTTGTTTCTGTAACTCGCGCACATTTGAACATTTTTGAAAAATTATCACATATCTCTTATAAAGTACAGGAAGTAATCGATATAGACCAAGCCTACATCTTCTAATATTTATATCAGATTTAGGTCAGATACAAAATGGACAATATTGACCAACCCTTTTGGAACTTTCCTCATAAAGGAAACCGATCGATACTTTTTAATTAACTTTTATTTTTCAAAACATTTTTAGGAACCCACTCCGTGTATCATATAAGAAATATAGCGAAATGGATGAAGACTGGACAATTCGTTTGAATGTTACCAATATTCCTACCAGTATGTTTGTAAGTATCTACCTTTTTTAGCACCATGTGAAGAATACATTTACCTTCTTTTGCACCGCATCAACCCTTTTTTTATATGTCGCATTATTTTCCGTACGATTGACCTTTTCGTCTATCCAAAAACATAAAACAGACATCCATCTGCGGATTCCCTAAATTTGACACAGTAATTTCACTTTTTTTTTGTCAACCCCCCATCATATGTGACGTCATTTTTACCAGTTTAAAGTTGTTTTGGAAACTAGGTGAGTTTTATACATTTCCTTCTTTTACCCTTTTAGATCTTTTTAAAAGACCCACGAGAATTGCTATCGATGACTGATTTCCCAAACTATATATGGAGTCCTAAGAAAAATATTGCTAAATATAAATATATTATACGAAATTATTATGCAGAACCGGAAGTAAGGAAATTGAAACAAAGGTATGTGTAACATAACCTTAACATTATTATTATCGAACTCAATTGCCTTCTCAATATCTTAGACAACGCAATTGTATCTATCACGACGAAGTGTTTCCCTACGAAGAATTGCAGCAGGAATATAAGACGAATTTCTACGAATATGGCGTGTGTCACAGCTATTGTCAGATAATGGAATTTTACAAATCGTGTAACTGCTTTACTGCGAATGCCCTTCGTGTAATGCCCAGTAAGTGTTCTATTAATAATCGATTAATTGGTAGTCTAATGTATGCATTGTTTTCATAGATATTGTAAGGCGTTCGAAAATTTGTTCCTTTGAGGACATACTTTGCATTGAAAAAAATTATTCGAATGTGAGGAAAACTAAATGCGAACGCTGTGTACGAGCTTGTAATTACACTGAATATTTCTCTAGGCCGGAGATAAGGGTGTCGTGAGTATCAAATAATACGTCTCTCTGGTTACCACGAAATTGCTGGAAATTGTTACAGAAAGTCATCCGTTAAGACAAAAGTTATGCAAAAGAGAGCGATTCGAGAGAGAAATTTTGTAGCTGATAGTCTTTTACTTGAAGTTTGCATATATTTGCCGAACAATTTCGATTTCTTTCAATCATTTGCAACCTTTTTATACCCTCCACCATAGTATGGAGGATGTATTAAGTTTGTCATCCCCTTTGTAACACCTCGAAATACATATTTTAGACCCCACAAAGTATATATATTCTTGATCAGCATAAAATTCTATGTCGATTTAGCGATGTCCGTCCGTCTGTAGAAATCACTCTAGCTTCCGAACGAAATGAAGTAGGTTGATAAAATTTTACTCAAATGTATATTATGTCTGGAGGACTTTTTGTATTGAAAATGGGCCATGTAGGTCCACGTCTTCATATAGCCCCCATATAACGGTACCTTCCGATATTCGGTATTTCGATGATTTTAGCGACATTATTTACCGGAATTGTTTAAAATTTGGTATTCGAAGTTCGTAATGGATACTACAGCATAAGAGAGAAAATGGGCCATGTAGGTTCACGACTTCGTATAGCCCCCATATAACTGTTCCCCCCGAAATTCGGTATTTTTATTATTTTAGCGACATTATTTATCGGAACTATTTCAAATGTAGTATTTGAAGTTCGCAATGAAGACTACAGCCTATGACAGAAAATTGTCTGTGCAGGTTCGCGTCTTCGTATAGCCCCCATATAATGGTACCTCCGTATTTTCGGTGTTTTGGTGATTTAAGCGACATTATTAACCGGAAATGTGTCAAATTTGGTATTTGAAGTTCGTAATGGATACTACAGCCTCTGACGGAGAATTGTCTGTGCAGGTCTACGTTTTGGTATAGCCACGGTACGTCGCTATATTCAGTATTTTGATGATTTTCAAGTTTCGCATTTGAATATTGTAATGGCTAATGACAAAAGATTTCTATGCAGGCCCACAGCGTTGTATAGGCCCTAATATAATGGCTACATTCAGTATTTTTAAGATATTAAAATAACGGATTTTCTTTTTCTTCCAAGTGGTGGATGGTATTCAAAGTTCGGCCCGGCCGAAATTACAACTTGTTTTTACTTGTTTTGTTAAAACTGTTTACAATTAAGTTATTTTTTATTATTATTATTTTTTTTTTTTTTGACAAATCTGCTTATTGCAGATTTTTATCGTAGAACAAAGTTTTAATTTTGACAGTTTTCTTGCAAAATGGAATATAGTATATTTCTCTCTTAGAAAGAAGTTGCTGAACAATTTCAGCTGAAAAACATATCCCGACAGATCTTATGTTGCATTTCAAAATTAATTCTTTCTTAACAGCGGAATCACAAGACCTAGACGAAACCCACAAAATATTTCCTCAACCAAAGAATTCTACTCATTGACGTTGGATTTGGAATATTGGCCGTTATTACAATTTCGTGCACTTATCATTTTTTCATTTACCGAGTATTTGGGTAAAAACTTATGACTTTTCAAATCATTTTGAAATTCCATATTATTTTACTTTTCAGTGTCGCTAATGGGTCTGGCTGGATTATTTATTGGCACCAGTTATCTAACAATGTATGAGGTTTTCTATAATATATTTGTACGTGTTGGATTTTCCTATGTTGTCAATTGGGTGAAAAAATTAAAGAGTTCGCAAAAGATTGAAATATCTAAAATTGAATATATTTTCAGAATTATTTGGAGAAGAAATTCAAAGAACAAGAAGAAAAAGAAAGTTCCCAACCACCGCCTTGCATTGATATGTCATTGAAATTAAAGAAACATAAATAAACCAAACGCCTGAAAGTATGCTTTAAATTCTTATACAAATATCATTTAACTTGTGTGCAGTTATTAACCCTCAATGTCTATGGTATTTATGTTAATAATGTAACTAATAAGCAATAATTGGATGTTTTAAAATAAATTATAATAAAAACAAATTAAAAAATAACAGTCAGTTTTGTCCACAGGTATATACCCTCATCCAATATTCTATTATTTTAATATATTTTAACTTCTGTTATGATTACTTAAATTGTCGACCCTCTATGGAGTAGGTTCCGAAAGAATGGGTCAATATTGTGCATTTGGTATCGTACCTAAATAAATATGATATAAATATTGCGACGTGCCAGATTTGCACTATATTGGTTACGTCTCTCACTTTATATGAGATATGTGATAAGTTTTAAAAAATGTTAAATGTGAGATACCAGACAGATATAGTCGACCGAAGTATTCCTTTTTCATACTTCATCTAATACAGATATAAATATTGGTATGGGCAAAATTACAAGAAAATCGAACATTTATATCCAATTTTATGCGAATTTATCATAAATACCATTTTCATCTCATTTTCTGAGTGAGAGAAATATTTAGTTATAGCAAGTTGTAAAGAATCGCTGACTTGTTTCGCAAGCTATGATAAATAAATGTATTGAAAATTGTGACCCTTTGTGGGTGAGGTACAGATGCAGATACATATCATCTGCGGACCCCTTGCGTTAGCAAAAATGTTTGTATGTGTGAAATTTAAAGAGAGTTAGAAGCTTACTTCACTCCCTTTCAGCGTTTTGTTTTTCAAAATCTTGAACCCTATGTGGGAAGGACCAGAAGAAATGGTCCAATCTCTACCATCTTTTTAACAGATCTTGTGTTGATGGAAATATTGAGATGCACAAAGTCTGAATGGAACATAGACAAATGAAAATATAGACAACGAAATGCTCTCACCGTTTATCTTCGAAAAAAATCGAATCAGCAGATGTCGTCTATATCGTTTTAGGGGTTTGAGTGGAAATATTGAAGTCACTCAATTCTAAAACGTTAAAAATAACAAAAACTGTAGGATATTTGTCAGTTGAAAATTATTTTATAAAAAAAGAAATGTGAAAAGTACGTGATGACATCGAAAACAAGTAAGCAAAGGCTACAGTCGAGCGGGGCCGACCGTTGAATACCCTACAACACTATAATAAACCATACAGTTTATATAGGCGAAATACTCGACAGAATTCCACAAGATATTGTGACAAATAATAAAAGAAAACCGTCAGGTTTCGTTCTCTAATTTTCGAATAATAGCAACTTAAGCTAATTTGCTCATTTCCAATTTATTGGTAGATGTTGCACCTAAATGGTCTTCCTAGATCTGGAACCAATATTTCCCAAAGACCTATAATCTCTCAGAAGTGGCAAAAGATTAACATTTATTATTGGTTTTTGACTGAAACGCATCTATATGAGATACAGACATTTGACTATATTCTTCAACGAAATCAGCGTTAACGAAATAGTCAGAAGTGCGTCTTTCCTGCATTTGTGAATTCTCCAAAAAGTCACTGGAATGGACATTTTCGTATTTTGTCTATAAAAGTTGGCAAACTCCTTTACATATTGAATATTTTTGGATGGCCATCCGAAACTGCTTGGCTTTTGCAATGTGAGGTAACCCCCATTCAAATGTGCGTGAGGATCGGGAGATAATTTCGACCTGCTGACAATTTTGCAGTTTTTTGGTCCATTTCAACCCCTATGGCGATCATCTCCAAAAAGAGTAGCTTCTCTTCTGACCCTCATCTTATCCCCATGCAAAATTTCGTAAGGATCGGGCCATAAATGCGATCTGCATATGATATCCTGATATCCTAACTACTTAGTTTTGTTAGCTGTAGAAATATTACCAAATGTTTAATTCAAAATGAAAATATGCCAAAAATATGACAAAATTGAAAAAAATATGAGAAAATTTTACAAAATCAATATTTTCATCTTTAGAGAGATATTTTTATGCGATTTTTTAGACGTTTTTTGTTTCCTGCCAAGAGGCCATTCTGAATTAATGAGAACTGTCGAAATCAGTTCAGCCGTTCTCGATATATAAGAGATCTTTCAAGCATATCTTCTTTGATAGACATATATATCGCACATATTTTGCTATATATCCGATTTGTTGGATGTTAACATCAATGTAAAGGTCAGAAGTAACCTTGCCATGGCTTCGTGATTTCGCCGGAATTTAAAATATTCGCGGTTTTATGAAAATTTTTGAATTTTTTCAACACAAAATATATGGTCTATTTTACCCGCTAAATATTATCCGATGACCACCCTAATTGGTAGGCTTCTTCCCCGCCCTAAACTCCAGCTACATACGAAATTCCGCGTCGATTGGTCTATAATTGCGACCTGTATAGCTACTGCAAAATCCGATATTTTTCAGTATTTGGTCCATTTCGACCCCTAAATATTATGCGATCATCTCCAAAAGAAATAGGGTTCTATTCTGACCCTAGCCCCACCTCCATTTTAAATTTCGTGAAGATCGGACCATAACTGCGACCTGTAGAGTGATTACAAATTAACATGGACAGACGGACAGACGGACGGACGGACGGACGGACATACATAGCTAGATCGACTCAGCTCGGCGAGCTAGGAAGATCCATATATACTTTCCTATATGGGAAACCAATATTTCGAGGTGTTACATAAATTCTGGCCCAATCAAACTTACAATACCCCCAACACATAGTGTTGTAGGGTATAAAAATGGGAATATTCCAGTGAAATTCTTGAAAAACGATAAAAAGTGTTTTCGAAGTCGAGTGGCTTGAACGCGTAAATCAGCATGTTGACTATGCAAAACATGATGAGAGCCACCTGGAAAAAAAAGCAAAACTAACTTTTCGTTGTCTATATCTTCATTTGTCTATGAATGGAATCGGTTGTTAATTTCGGATCGAAAAATCTTATGAGATTCATGGATATTAAAAATGTTCACCTTTTGTGGGCGAGGTACCAGAAGGAGTGGGCCGATATATCTAATTTTCACATCAGATTTTGTGTTAGTACAAATAATGGGATGTGTAAAATATGAAGAGAACCCGATGCTTATTTCCGACTTTTTAATAGCTTTAGTTATTCCAAACTCTGACCATTTGTGGGGGAGGTATCGGAAGGAATGGTCCGATCTCTACCATCTTTATAACAAATCTTGTGCTGATGGAAATATTGAGATGTACCAAGTCTGAATGAAATCAGAGGTTAAATTCGGATAGGAATATTTTATGAGATTCATCGATATTCAAAATTTTCACCCTTTGTGGGGGAGGTACTAGAAGGAGTGGTCCGATATATCTAATTTTCACATCAGATGTTGTGTTAATACAAATAATGGGATGTGAAAAAAATGAGAAAAGAACCCAATGCTTATCTCCGATTTTTTAATAGCTTTAGTCATTCCAAACTCCGACCATTTGTGGGGGAGGTGCCAGATGAAATGGTCGACCTCTACCATCTTTATAACAAATCTTGTGCTGATGGAAATATTGAGATGTACCAAATCTGAATGGAATCTGAGGTTAAATTCGGATCGGAATCGCTTATGAGATTCACGGATATTAAACATTTTCATCCTTTGTGGGGGAGGTACTAGAAGGAGAGGACCGATACATCCCATCTTCACAGCAGATCTTGTGTTAGTAGAAAAAAAATAAAGAAACCGTATACTTATTTCGGATTTTACAATCGTTTTGGTGATTCCAAACTTTGACCATTTGTGGGGGAGGTACCGGAAGGAATGCTCCTATCTCTACCACCTTAAGAACAGATCTTGTGTGTTATGCCATGTCTAAGTGGAATCGGATATTAATTTCGCGTTTTATGAGCTTAATGGATATTCAAAATTTCGACCTTTTTTGTGGGGGAGGTACCGGAAGGTTGGACCGATATATTCCATCTTAGCACCAGACCTTGAGTTAATAAAAATATTGGGATGAAATTTGAAGACAATCGGACTCACGTTTACATCAAATTTTAAAAGTGTAATAATTATTCAAAATTTTGACGCTTTGTGGGGAAGGTACTTGATGAGGCGGACCGACATTGTCCATATTTGCACTAGACCTAGCACTGACAAATATATTGAGATTTGCAAAGTTTAAACAAAATTGGATGAGATAAATTACTTTCTTTGAAAATGCTTACCTTTTTTAGGGGCAGTAAAAGAAGAAGTGGATTGATGTTGCCCATCTCGGAACTCGATCTAAGTTTGAAAATAATATTACGATGTACGAAGTTTGGGTCAAATCGGATACTCCCTTGGATCGTGTGCACCAGTCAGCCAGACAGACGGGGGGACATCGCTAGATCGACTCCAAATATCCTCAATCGGATTTGGTCAAAAGAGACTTAGGGTCTAAAACCTCCAATAGATATATACCCTCTCTAACCATATGGCTGAGGGTATAAAAAATGAATAGATATTAGGATTTGAAAAATATACATTTAAAAGGAGGCTGGCTAATTTTTAAAATTAGTCACTGGCCATTAGTCATATGTGTGACGTATAAAAAGTAAATTAAAACTATTTTGACATTATCTATAAATTTCATTTCCCCGTGGTAAATATTAAATTCATAATGAGATGCGTTTCAAGCACAAAAAAAAAACAAATACAATATCAATATTGATATTGATATCTCAAAAGTTGGTACTAATTAATAATTAGAACGATAACAAATACTTTAGATTTTCAGATATTTTAAATGACATGGAGAGATAAGAACGATTTGAACTAAGCAAAATGCCAATATAATATCGAAGTCATTATAAATCGAAAATTGCATTTGATAAAGACATAGAACTAAGTTGCGGAATATTTCGAAGGAAACAAAAAAATCGACCAAAATGGCTATACGTCAACAAGGATTTTTTGCGTGTCTATTTTTAATATTTTCGATTGCGAGGTTAGAGGCTTTACCCTCCTCCCACGTGGATTCACGTATTATCAATGGAACCGAAGTTAATTGGAATAATACCCGCTATGTGGTATCGATACGTATGGCCTTTCTGGATAATATGATTTATGGAGCTGGCCATATGTGTGGAGGTAGTTTAATAGCACCCGACGTTGTCCTAACTGCTGCACACTGTATTTGGAGGTAAGTGAAGACGTTTGGATTGTTAGGAAAATCTACGAAAAAATCGAGAAGAATGAGGAAAAGACCTACAGAAGGTTTTACATCAAGAAGGATAGACATCCAAAGGATTTTTGGAAATTCGAACGTTAAATTCGTTCGTTACGAAAAGTTCTAAAATGGTACCATTTGGTATTATGTGAACGTGTAGTGCTAAAAACTTGAGAATCAATGTTGGAAAAAAAGTTTGATATATGAGGGAGGTTTTGGAAATGTGTACGGAATGTACTAAATGGTACTAAATTTGGAATAGTTTTTTTTTAGGGTGAAATAATCAAGCAGAAATTTTTAAATGTTGTATTGGTTTCCCTATTGGTGGCAAGTTTGCGATAGGGAGATGATTTTGGAAATGTGTACTACAAGTGCACGAAATGTACTAAATAGTACTATATTTGGTACAATTTGGTATTGGGTGAAGAAATAGTGCTTTCGGAAATGTGTACTATTATTGTACGAAAATTACTAAATGGGACTAGATTTGGTATTGCGTGAAGGAATGGGACTGGAAGCTTAAATTCGAAATTGATGTGTCTGTTGGTATCTGGAATTGAGATAAGGGGTTAGTTTTGGAAATGTGTACAATACAGGGTGAGATAAAAAAAAAACTGCAACAAAGTCAAACGCCATAATTTCACATTTCACTGAATGAAAGCAAAAATGTCGAAAATAGCATCAAAATTTAAATTTGTTCGAATTGGTCACCATTGGCACGAATTATGGCCTTAAAACGGCCTATGAACCGTCACACGCTGCCCGAATGTTGCTCTGCGGTATTTTAGCCCATTCCCGGCGAAGCGTTCGCTAGTGCCAACCTTGCTTTCTAAAATACTCCAGACACAATAGTCCAACGGATTGGTACCCGGAGATTTTGGAGGCCATTGTGCTCTGGAAATGAAGGGAGGAAACTCATTTTGTAACCATTCTTAGGTGGCGTGTGCTGAGTGCGATGGTGCTGAGTCCTGTTGGAATGTCCAAGGTCAGCAGCCAAAATATTTGCGTGTACCCTCCAGAGTATTTTCGCGATTATATTCGGCATTTATTCTGATGCCACGGTCGATTAATACGAGCGGAGAGCGACCATCGGTTGTTGTTGTTGTTGGAGCAGCTCATACATCTGTGTTCGTTCGGTTTCCATTTTCTGACTCAATTCAATCAGGTTCTGCCTCTAAGTCCAGTCTCAAAAAGGCTGCAACCTGTATGGGTTGTGTCCATAACGAGACTGGAGTTAGGTGAGTAGGCTTGGCTGGGCAGCGAAATAGGTGCAGCGTGTCATGTGGGCCTGTGCCACATGCTGGGCAGATGTTCTGCACGTCGCTTTTAATCCGGGCCCAGTAGGAATTTAGGCGGCTGCACCATCCGGATCGTAATTGAGCCAAAACTACTCGAGTTTGTCGGGGCACCTCTCGTTCTTCAGCTGCGACGGGAGGGGGATGGTCTCCTAGCACAGTATTCACTCCATATCCTTCAATAGCTTCTGAGACCGCATTAGAGTGAATACTATTCAGTCCCGCTTGATAGGCCTGTTGATCTAGAGGTCTCTCTCTTATACCTCTGTACCTCTCTCTGTAGATCATGAAGGTCTTTCCTAACGTGCCTGGGCGGAGGTTGCCTATCCACAAGATGGTGATTTGGCTTTGTCTATAACACCCAAGCAGGTATTGCATTGACAGCATTTTGTTATGCTGTCGCAACGGTAAGACCTTCGTCTCCTCATGTAGGTGATCGACAGGTGTCATGAGAAGGCACCCTGTTGCGGTTCTAAGGGCGGCATTGTGGCAGGACTGAACATTTTTCCACTGCGTAGCACTGACGTTGGCGGGCCACACCGGCGCCGCATAGTTTACCACAGAGCGGCCTATCACGTTGTAAGAGGTCAACAAGGTTTCCTTATCAGCTACCCAAGTACTGCCGGCCAGAGACTTGAGGACCTTGTTCCTACTTCTAATCTTGTCGCAGATAGCTGTGGAATGCGCGGACGACTTAAAGAGGCCATCGAATGTGACCCCTTATACCTTGGGGTAGTTGGTGGTCGGCACCATCGACCTGCACATTCAAGGATAGCCCCATCCCCGCAGTCCATGTGGTGAAAAGTGTGGCCATCGGTTGTTATGGCGGCCCACACCATTACCATGGCCGGCGCTTGAGTTCTGGTGGCCAACCGAAGGTGCACATTTTCAGCTGACCTCTTTGGTGGGTAAATACGATCACTTGTTTACAAACTGCTGGACAACGAATGTTTTCTCATCGGAGAAAATCAAATACGGCAGTTCACCACTTTCGGCCAAGCGAAACAAGTCTTTACTTCTTTTGAGTCTATTTTCTTTCTGTTGCGGTGTAAGTACCTCAGCTCATTTTTCAATATTTGCCGAATAGAATATTGCGATATGTTCAGCTCACGAGCCATTTTTCGGCCACTGCAACGCGGGTTTCGATCAAGTAGCTTCTTTAATTTTCGAACCATTTCTGCTGCTGTTGCTGTTTTCTTCCGTTCACTTCCCTGACTTCCTACCAGTATCACGGTAACGAGCGATGGTACGAGACACAAAAGAATTTATTCACATTTAAATCCTGGAGTGCTCTAACGATAGCCACTTGTGGTTTTCCAGCGAAATATAAAGAAATCACACTATCACGCTTGAATTCCATCACGAATAACTTTTTCTTCAGGAAAATTCTCACCAAAAAGCTTTTGTACGCTTGTGAACAATTGAATGAGTTGTCACTGGAATAATTTTAACAGCTGTCGGACGAGTGACTTAGAAATGACAGCAGTCTGAAATCGGTTGCAGTTTTTTCATCTCACCCTGTACTATATTTGGTACAATTTGGTATTGCGTGAACCGAAAGTTTTCGAAATCTGCAATTTGGTATTAGGGTCGCTGTTCATGTGTATCCTGGACATATGGAGATGCATTCGGAAATGTATACTTTAATTGTAGGAAAAGTACTAAATGGTACTAAATTTAGTATTGGGTGATGGGATAGGGCTGGAATCCTCGAATTTTATATTAATGTCTCAGTTGGTATTTGGAATTCAGATATGGAGATATTTAAGGAAATGTATACACAAATTGTACGAAAATTACTAAATAGTACTATATTTGGTACATTTTGGAATTGGGGAACCGATGGTGTTCGAAATCTGAAATTTGGTATTAGGTCGCAGTTCTCGTGTAGCCTGGACATATGGAGGTGGTTACGGAAATGTGTGCTATAACTGTACGAAAAATACTAAATGCTACTTAATTATGTATTAGGTAAAGGAATAGGGCTGAAATCCCTAAGCCTAACCCAAACGTTTGGATCGAATCTTAAATGTTAAGGTGGACTTTCCGATATTCGGCACTTTGCTACATTTTATGCACATTTTTTACGGAATTCATTGAAATTTGTATATTTTACATGGAAATTTTAGCTTTTGGGCCCTATCAAAATTATTTCAATATACATTTCTGCGTACGTCGCTCCCACTCGAATACTGTACCTAGGCACTGGTTACTTTTCACTTGCAATAACAAAATTGAATAACTTCTTTTTTGTATTATATTTTTAGTGAAAATCAAGAAAAATTTCGTTCGCCTCAGGAATTTTCCGTTGTTGTGGGTAGTTTGGATCGTACTCGCAAGGATCGGAATACATTACAATTTGCTGTCAAGGACATTATTTGGGGTCCCAATTTTGATCCAGATACATTTGAGGACGATATTGCAATTATGATTTTAAATCAGACCGTTCCCAGGACGTATAATGAATATTCATTGATTGAAATGAATGAGAATCGTAATTTGGCAGCTGGCACCAAGTGTACCGTCAGCGGGTGGGGTCTAACGGAAAAGGTAAGGCAATATAGGAACATTATTCCAAGGTTAGGATGTAACTAACGATTAACCCCCTCATTTTGTGAAAATTGTTGCAGAACCTCTATGCCACAAAATTACGATCGGTCGAGGTACCCATTGTAAGCCGTTCCGAGTGTTCAGAACACTATGGTGCTGAGAACCTGATCGATGGTATGCTATGTGCCGGTTATATGAATGGAGGACGTGATGCCTGTTCTGCTGATTCTGGTGGTCCATTAGTTTGCAATGACAAACTCGTGGGAATTGTTTCTTTTGGTGTCGGTTGTGCCATGCCTGGCTATCCTGGAATCTATACCGATGTTGCCTACCACATTGATTGGATACGCAATAAAACTGGATTAAAAACGAAGGAATATTTACAATTACAAAATGATTATTTTAACTATACAATTGTACCATATGCCAACAATTCGACTGGTTCATCGAATTCGACACATGGCTCAAATTCATCTACGGCCATTTTTAAACGAAGTTTTAATTTTATGATATTGATATTATTGTGTATTTATAAAACAATGTAGATTTTTATCGATTACAAAATTAAGTTATGAAAATAAAATGGCCATAACTCCTTAAATATTGAGTTTTCGTCGTTTTTAGCTATTATTTGTGATCACTTTTTTAAGTGTGAATTATTACCTATTTTAAAATGGCCATTACACCTTAAATATTGAGTTTTCGGCGTTTTTAGCTATTATTTGTGATCACTTTTTTAAGTGTGAATTATTACATACTTTAAAATGGCCATATCTCCTTAAATATTGAGTTTTCGGCGTTTTAGCTATTATTTGTGATCACTTTTTTAAGTGTGAATTATTACATATTTTAAAATGGCCATAACTCCTTAAATATTGAGTTTTCGGCGTTTTAGCTATTATTTGTGATCACTTTTTTAAGTGTGAATTATTACATATTTTAAAATGGCCATAACTCCTTAAATATTGAGTTTTCGGCGTTTTAGCTATATTTGTGATCACTTTTTTAAGTGTGAATTATTACATATTTTAAAATGGCCATAACTCCTTAAATATTGAGTTTTCGGCGTTTTTAGCTATTATTTGTGATCACTTTTTTTAAGTGTGAAATAATCAATATTTTAAAATGACCATAACTCCTTAAATATTGAGTTTACGGCGTTTTAAGCTATTATTTGTGATCACTTTTTTAAGTGTGAATTATTACATATTTTAAAATGGCCATAACTCCTTAAATATTGAGTTTTCGGCGTTTTAGCTATATTTGTGATCACTTTTTTAAGTGTGAATTATTACATATTTTAAAATGGCCATAACTCCTTAAATATTGAGTTTTCGGCGTTTTTAGCTATTAGTTGTGATCACTTTTTTAAGTGTGAATTATTACATATTTTAAAATGGCCATAACTCCTTAAATATTGAGTTTTCGGCGTTTTTAGCTATTATTTGTGATCACTTTTTTTAAGTGTGAAATAATCAATATTTTAAAATGACCATAACTCCTTAAATATTGAGTTTACGGCGTTTTAAGCTATTATTTGTGATCACTTTTTTAAGTGTGAATTATTACATATTTTAAAATGGCCATAACTCCTTAAATATTGAGTTTTCGGCGTTTTAGCTATATTTGTGATCACTTTTTTAAGTGTGAATTATTACATATTTTAAAATGGCCATAACTCCTTAAATATTGAGTTTTCGGCGTTTTTAGCTATTAGTTGTGATCACTTTTTTAAGTGTGAATTATTACATATTTTAAAATGGCCATAACTCCTTAAATATTGAGTTTTCGGCGTTTTTAGCTATTATTTGTGATCACTTTTTTTAAGTGTGAAATAATCAATATTTTAAAATGACCATAGCTCCTTAAATATTGAGTTTACGGCGTTTTAATCTATTATTTGTGATCACTTTTTTAAGTGTGAATTATTACATATTTTAAAATGGCCATAACTCCTTAAATATTGAGTTTTCGGCGTTTTTAGCTATTATTTGTGATCACTTTTTTAAGTGTGAATTATTACATATTTTAAAATGGCCATAACTCCTTAAATATTGAGTTTTCGGCGTTTTAGCTATATTTGTGATCACTTTTTTAAGTGTGAATTATTACATATTTTAAAATGGCCATAACTCCTTAAATATTGAGTTTTCTGCGTTTTAATCTATTATTTGTGATCACTTTTTTAAGTGTGAATTATTACATATTTTAAAATGGCCATAACTCCTTAAATATTGAGTTTTCGGCGTTTTTAGCTATTATTTGTGATCACTTTTTTAAGTGTGAATTATTACATATTTTAAAATGGCCATAACTCCTTAAATATTGAGTTTTCGGCGTTTTAGCTATATTTGTGATCACTTTTTTAAGTGTGAATTATTACATATTTTAAAATGGCCATAACTCCTTAAATATTGAGTTTTCTGCGTTTTTAGCTATTATTTGTGATCACTTTTTTAAGTGTGAATTATTACATATTTTAAAATGGCCATAACTCCTTAAATATTGAGTTTTCGGGGTTTTTAGCTATTATTTGTGATCATTTTTTAAGTGTGAATTATTACATATTTTAAAATGGCCATAACTCCTTAAATATTGAGTTTTCGGCGTTTTAGCTATATTTGTGATAACTTTTTTAAGTGTGAATTATTACATATTTTAAAATGGCCATAACTCCTTAAAAATTGAATTTTCGGCGTTTTTAGCTATTATTTGTGATCACTTTTTAAGTGTGAATTGTTACATATTTTAAAATGGCCATAACTCCTTAAACATTGAGTTTTCGGCGTTTTTAGCTATTATTTGTGATCACTTTTTTAAGTGTGAATTATTACATATTTTTAAATGGTCATAACTCCTTAAATATTGAGTTTTCGGCGTTTTTAGCTATTATTTGTGATCACTGTGTGAAATAATCAATATTTTAAAATGGCCATAACTCCTTAAAAATTGAATTTTCGGCGTTTTTAGCTATTATTTGTGATCACTTTTTTAAGTGTGAAATAATCAATATTTTAAAATGGCCATAACTCCTTAAAAATTGAATTTTCGGCGTTTTTAGCTATTATTTGTGATCACTTTTTTAAGTGTGAATTATTACATATTTTAAAATGGCCATAACTCCTTAAATATTGAGTTTTCGGCGTTTTAGCTATTATTTGTGATCACTTTTTTAAGTGTGAAATAATCAATATTTTAAAATGGCCATAACTCCTTAAATATTGAGTTTTCGGCGTTTTTAGCTATTATTTGTGATCACTTTTTTAAGTGTGAAATAATCAATATTTTAAAATGGCCATAACTCCTTAAATATTGAGTTTTCGGCGTTTTTAGCTATTATTTGTGATCACTGTGTGAAATAATCAATATTTTAAAATGGCCATAACTCCTTAAAAATTGAATTTTCGGCGTTTTTAGCTATTATTTGTGATCACTTTTTATGTGTGAAATAATCAATATTTTAAAATGGCCATAACTCCTTAAATATTGAGTTTTCGGCGTTGTTAGCTATTATTTGTGATCACTTTTTTAAGTGTGAATTATTACATATTTTAAAATGGCCATAACTCCTTAAATATTGAGTTTTCGGCGTTTTTAGCTATTATTTGTGATCACTTTTTTAAGTGTGAAATAATCAATATTTTAAAATGGCCATAACTCCTTAAAAATTGAATTTTCGGCGTTTTTAGCTATTATTTGTGATCACTTTTTAAGTGTGAATTGTTACATATTTTAAAATGGCCATAACTCCTTAAACATTGAGTTTTCGGCGTTTTTAGCTATTATTTGTGATCACTTTTTTAAGTGTGAATCATTACATATTTTAAAATGGCCATAACTCCTTAAATATTGAGTTTTCGGCGTTTTTAGCTATTATTTGTGATCACTTTTTTAAGTGTGAAATAATCAATATTTTAAAATGGCCATAACTCCTTAAAAATTGAATTTTCGGCGTTTTTAGCTATTATTTGTGATCACTTTTTAAGTGTGAATTGTTACATATTTTAAAATGGCCATAACTCCTTAAACATTGAGTTTTCGGCGTTTTTAGCTATTATATGTGATCACTTTTTTAAGTGTGAATTATTACATATTTTTAAATGGTCATAACTCCTTAAATATTGAGTTTTCGGCGTTTTTAGCTATTATTTGTGATCACTTTTTTAAGTGTGAAATAATCAATATTTTAAAATGGTCATAACTCCTTAAATATTGAGTTTTCGGCGTTTTTAGCTATTATTTGTGATCACTTTTTTAAGTGTGAAATAATCAATATTTTAAAGAGTCCATAACTCCTTAAATATTGCGTTTTCGGCGTTTTTAGCTATTATTTGTGATCACTTTTTTAACTGTGAAATAATCAATATTTTAAAATGGCCATAACTCCTTAAATATTGAGTTTTCGGCGTTTTTAGCTATTATTTGTGATCACTGTGTGAAATAATCAATATTTTAAAATGGCCATAACTCCTTAAAAATTGAATTTTCGGCGTTTTTAGCTATTATTTGTGATCACTTTTTTATGTGTGAAATAATCAATATTTTAAAATGGCCATAACTCCTTAAATATTGAGTTTTCGGCGTTGTTAGCTATTATTTGTGATCACTTTTTTAAGTGTGAAATAATCAATATTTTAAAATGGCCATAACTCCTTAAATATTGAGTTTTCGGCGTTGTTAGCTATTATTTGTGATCACTTTTTTAAGTGTGAAATAATCAATATTTTAAAATGGCCATAACTCCTTAAATATTGAGTTTTCGGCGTTTTTAGCTATTATTTGTGATCACTTTTTTAAGTGTGAAATAATCAATATTTTAAAATGGTCATAACTCCTTAAATATTGAGTTTTCGGCGTTTTTAGCTATTATTTGTGATCACTTTTTTAAGTGTGAAATAATCAATATTTTAAAGTGGCCATAACTCCTTAAATATTGAGTTTTCGGCGTTTTTAGCTATTATTTGTGATCACTTTTTTAAGTGTGAAATAATCAATATTTTAAAATGGCCATAACTCCTTAAATATTGAGTTTTCGGCGTTTTTAGCTATTATTTGTGATCACTTTTTTAAGTGTGAAATAATCAATATTTTAAAATGGCCATAACTCCTTAAATATTGAGTTTTCGGCGTTTTTAGCTATTATTTGTGATCACTTTTTTAAGTGTGAAATAATCAATATTTTAAAGTGGCCATAACTCCTTAAATATTGAGTTTTCGGCGTTTTTAGCTATTATTTGTGATCACTTTTTTAAGTGTGAAATAATCAATATTTTAAAGTGGCCATAACTCCTTAAATATTGAGTTTTCGGCGTTTTTAGCTATTATTTGTGATCACTTTTTTAAGTGTGAAATAATCAATATTTTAAAATGGCCATAACTCCTTAAATATTGAGTTTTCGGCGTTTTTAGCTATTATTTGTGATTACTTTTCTAAGTGTGAATTATTACATATTTTAAAATGGCCATAACTCCTTAAATATTGAGTTTTTTTAAGTGTGAAATAATCAATATTTTAAAATGGCCATAACTCCTTAAAATTGAATTTTCGGCGTTTTTAGCTATTATTTGTGATCACTTTTTAAGTGTGAATTATTACATATT